TGCAAGCGCCAAATCATTTTTTCTCTCCCCATGCAAGCTGCGCCAAGAGTGTGGCAGGTTTTCAAATCCACTTCTGGAGCACTGTGGTGTCAAGAGCGACCCACGATTACCTCTGGCAACTCGCTTGCTGAGTGCTACTGGGACGGCCGGAGAGAAACACGCCGCGGGCACGCCATGTCGAAGGCTGTGGCCTGAAACTTGCAGCGGCCCTGGCTACGTGGCCCAGTTGACCCACTGTGGCGGCGATGCGGGTCGACTACCGGCAGAACATTGTGGCTGTAGACGCGTCGAAGCTGTTCTGTTAGAGCTCCTGATCATCAGGGCGCTCAACTGCGTTCCTGCCAGCCAGCGGATCGCCATACCAGTGTCAGCTTCTTACACGGCATCGATGGAGCCACAATGGTCTGCTTCGGGGCACCTTTTCGAGCTTTCTGGTGCTTGAGGCGAGCAGCGAGGGCCGAACGACAAGGTTCCGGTTTGCCAGAAGTGTTCCGCCTGAGCATGTCTCCCTCTATGGCCCACAGCTGCGAGTGCATCACGCCAGATCGCTGCCACTTCAATGTCGGCCGTGCGACTGCTTCGCGCACGTCGCCGAGGCACGGTACTGCACTGGTAACTACAATGGATGCAGCCACCACTACCAGTCTGCTGACACCTGCCGTCCCCGCTGCATCAACTGGGGAGGGCGACACGCAGCTGACAACTGCATCTGCCCTCGTTGGCAGGAGGAGGTTAGAGTGAGCAGGCTCATGCCCGCGTCACAAACGCCACACTCGACACGGATCGAAAAGGCTGCAGTACGCAAGCATTCGCTGCTGCAGTTCAGACCAAGCCGTCTGATAATACCACTGATCGCAGCCTGCCGCATCCGCCTACTACGCCGCGTCAATCACTCCAATCGTCTGTCAGCTACCTGAAGGAGAGCAGCCTGCTATCACACCTGCCGCGCGTGCGAAGGATGCGAGGGACGTCCTCATCGCGAGCCTCCTGGCCATTCTGCAGTCGTTCGCTACCCGGGAGAAATCCGCTGGGAGCCACCTACGCCCGTAGCCTGCGTGCAATGAATGGCTTAAATACTGACGAAGCTCTGAAACATGGTTGCAAGCTTACCGAAAAGTGGAGCGTAGGGCGGGTATAGCAAATGTCACTGTCAGCCAAGTGCTTGCTACACCCGGTCGATGAAGCCGCGGGGCGCTTTCCCTCTGAGTTTTACTATCCACTTCTTCCTCAGGTTCGCGTCGTTAGGATAACTGTAAAAAACTAACGCCCTTTTACGGGGCACCGAGAAGTACTTCATCACTGCGCAGCACTCGCCGCGAAGACAAGCGGCCACAGTTTTAAGAAACCAATCGCTGTGCTTTTAAACTGAGCGTAAAAGCAGATACATATGGTTGTTAGAACATCGTTGGTAGCCACCACACGCAAGGTAACTAATAAAACTGCTTATTTTTCGAGTTAGACCACGACTGTGGTTATTAGATGGTGCAGCGCCTTGAAAGTGTACGAATCCTAACTGACGTCATGCAAGCGTGGATCGCAGCACCGCCATCGGTCGCACACCAAACCAATAAGGTTCTCAGTTGCTGACCCGAGGGTCAGGGGCTCGATCTCTACCACGGTGCTAGCATTTCGGTGGAGGTGACCTGGTAGAGGCCTGTATTTTCTGCAGAGTAAGCACATGTTAAAGAACACCTGTTGGCCAAAATTGCCGAAGCCCACTACTGCAGCGTGCCTCATACTCACATAATGGTTTTGGTACAAAATACCGCATTGTTACCGCAAATGTTGTTTTATTGCATATATGCACGTTTTTGCACAGATATATCCCTACCGGCTTTGTTGCTGCTGTGCACCGGTGATTCGGTATTTCAAAACAGTCTTTAATGGACAAGCTAAAACAGCACACTGGTATTTATGCCATAATGCGGAAGCCTCTTATTGTACCTGGTGTGATTAAATAGCAATCCGCTAGCTGGTTGGCAAGCTCCACAGCTATTTCACTCAATTACAAAAATTATAAGCAGGAAGTGCTATGAGCAAAGCGTGTGCACAGTTTTCCTGTTATTCAGCTAAAACAAACTCTAATAAGTTCTCCGCAAGTATCAACTTTACTTTGGCTAAGAAGGACGAAACCTTTGAAATGCAAAACAACATTTCGTTAAAAGAAATTGGTCCATCTAAGAAATTTTCAAGCGGTTAGTTTTGTGCATATGTGTTCGCTACTGCAATGTGAGGTTCTATACAACAAATGTGCGAATGTATCGAAGTATCTTAAGATACAACGGACAAGTAACATATAGGATACAATTTCTGCGGCAGTATTTTCTACCTGTGTCTCTAATACATTTTGTCAGAAAATCTTTGCGCAACCCTGCCTGTGAGGGCAATGGCGTCTCTGAATTCCTAAATCTTGTAGGTTCTCGCTCATACGCTAACATGCAAAAACATGCTATGTATAGCGAACGTCCTGTTGGGAGATGAGGCGGAAAGAAACAAACACTGGTTACTTTTCGGTTATCCTGTTAGCGCAGCCAACAAGAGTCGTGCTTGCAGCACGACGGAGCCCTGCATCCAGCGTCCATTCCCTACCGTGGCCGAAAGCAGAATTCTGAGCCACGCCGGTTCTTGGAGCTCTGCTGCTAACTTACACTAAGAAGGCTTCGTGCCAGGAAAGCAATGAGATTGCTGTGAGTAAAGCAGTGTTTTAGAGCAAGAAAAATTCAACCAGGCGTCACACAACGCGTCTTGTGTAGCGGTGGGGTCGTCGAATGTACCAAACCCATTACAAGAGCATCAGGCATAATTGTTCATTGTTGTCGACCACAGCAACGCTAATTGCGCAAACTTTTTCGCAAGTGTGTAGCAGGTATCATGCTTCTCCGAAAAATGGTATAGGGAGTGCCCCCCTACTACACTAACATTATTACGATTTATATAGTCGAGAGCAACTTGCAATTGTGCTTGCAGCAGGTAACCAAAAAGTGTGAAACATTTTACCCGTGCCGCCTTTTGGACAATAATAAAGCCCTCTAATCTATCCATCTATATCCCGCTAAAAGGAACCATGTGTAGACGCGAAGCAGTGGGTGCTAAAGCTTATACTGGCGGTGGCGTTGACGCGGACTTTCATCACGGGGTTGCGCAGGATAGGAACCTGGGGAAAAGCCAAGCGCACAGTGTTGGACTGGAATTTCCTTCTAGAACATGGTAATCGCTGAAAAGTGGCAATGAGAGAAACAAAAACTCTGATTGGACACAGAAACTCGCAGTCCACTTTAGTTAAAACACGCGTTATGAATTTTTATTGTTTAACAACGCACCGGAAATTCTCCCACGGGCATTACTTGGAGGTCAAGATTCAGTGAACGCTAGTGCAGTGCGAGAAGCCATTTCTTTTGTTTAAGAGAGAAACTCAATATTCGATGCGTCCTGCGTCGACGTTGCGAGGCGAGAGAGTGGGAGCGTAGAAGAGAAGAGAGGGAAGGGCGCACATGCGCAGTAGTGTGGTGACGCCACACACTAGATTGAGCTCGACCATAAGATTCTTCGCCTCTAAAAAGCTGTAGAAAGGCCGCTCTTCCAGCTTTGCCTGAGACTCTGCTGCGCGTTTCGTGCAGGCAGGTTGTTTTTTCTTTGTCTATTTTTGTGCCATTTTTTAAAGTTACTCGTTGTCTTTCTCTGCCTCTATTTCATCTCTCTCATGCCGAAATCATTATCTGGCCTTTTATCTTTCCATCGTTCTTTCTATTTTAGGGATTTAGCTCCTTGAGGCCTAGGCTTGTCTGCCGGGGTTGTTTTTCGTAGCTGACCCGGCACGCAAAATGGTCACTACGTGGTGCTCTCATCAAACGAGATGTTTTGAAAGACATAAAAAGACGGACAGAGATACATACCACCAAACATACAGACAGCTGGATAGACAGACAGACATACAGACAGACAGATGAGCAGACAGGCAGACGCACAAACATGCGAACGGACAGACAAACAGACAGACTGATGGATGAATGGGTGGACAGACAGTAAAACACAGAGATGGAAGGACGGACACTTACCGATCGAAATCTGTTTTAACGAAAGAACAGTTGGGACGTCTAGCTACCATATACATATAACATAGAACTGTTTTGTATATATATACCCACACGGTTGGTCACGTCTTTGATAATTTATTGAAAAGATGCTCTAAAACTTGATGGTTTTACCTATGAACCCCCCAAGCTTAGACCACTTATCAATCACTCCGTAGATTTGATGTTATTTTGTTTTGCTTTCTTTCTCTGTCTCTGCGCTCGTTGTGCTCTCATTTTCTGCGTGTTCCACACCCTCACTATCCCTTACACCGAATTCTATGCTAGCATGCTTAATTTGCTGGTTCCAGTCTCGCCAGCATCCGTTTACTGAGCTTGCTCTCCTTCTACATCATAATTTCTCTTTCTTTATCATACTTTCTCTTTTTGCTTGTTTATTCGTACTCAGTCCATCAGTGCTAATGCACACCATGCCGGCGAAAGTAGCGCACACATTCTCGGAGTGAAGCGGCAGAGGAAAATCACAGTGAGAGCTTGTGCCAGACTGCCAGTTTAAATAAAGCCAATCATTCAGCGATGATTTACGCAACAGATTCAAGGAACTTTACAGTCTTTCGTTACTTAAACGATTCAACGGTCGGCCTAAACAGTTCATTCAGTGAAACTCGTAAATAGAGAGCCACGTATAGACTTGAGCTATTCTTCTGTGGCATTTTCAGTATTGAAAATTGTGGAGGTCACTGAGCGGAAATTTGCTTCCAGTGGCTGCTATGTCATTTAGATGGCGGGATCTTGTTCCGGTGTGGCAATGTAATGCTCGCGTAAATACCTGAACAATACAGGTTATGTACAGGTAACACTGTTCAGTCCTTGTGTCATGCGCCCAACTTTCACTGCATACAGTATAGATACGTAAAACTGTCGTTTTACATGAAATATTGTATATTCTCTCTTGGCATAAATACTTACCGGACGTCCCCTGATGATGACGCTGTCCAGACTAGGGGGACCGGAAACCTAAAAGGATACGATGGGAGTATAAACGGACAAATACACGCAAATAGTGCGAAGTTCACTGTTAATTCAACCAGGCACATAGAGAGAAACAGTAGGCTTTGAGCGAGTCCCAATACTATGTATGCAAAGGAAGAGTTCATAAGTGTGACGCAACCTTAATCAAAATCAACAGGTAGCGATGCTAAATAACGTAGAGGGAACGTTGATATAGAGTTGTAGGCGTGTTATAGGCATAGTGAAATTGATGTAAAGACAGTGAAGTGGACAAAAAGACAACTATCTACCGGCAGAAACGTTGAACCTACAGGTTATGCTCCCGATACTGTACCAATTAAGCTACGTTGTGGCTGTCTCTTCATCCAAGTTACTGGGTATTTTTGTTCATGCAAATGTGGAAGTGCTAGTCAGCGCCAATTATAGCGAAGCCGGGAAGTGTATAACACTCTTTTGCAAGCTTTTGTCACGTGTCACGTGGCTCTTTAATAGGCAGGAACCCATCCAGTACACCTTGACTTACTTCCCGAATCAACTCTGCCGGAACAAGGCACTCGTTATGAGGTTTGGAAGAAAGGAAATTAGGAAAGTTTGTTTCAATGCATGATAGAGCACTATCAAAAACCAGCACTATAAGAAGCCCAAAAAGTTAGAATTGACGTCCTGTAGCATTTTCAGCTTATTGTAGTAATTCTGATATGCGTTTCAAAAAGTACCGTAGACAAAAAGACCCCTTGGAACCTTATACCGTTTTCAACCTGCAACCTTATGATTACGCATCTGATGCTTAAACAATTCAGCGACGGGGCCGGTTGTTCTGAGTACGCTATGTTTTCATGCTTTCTCTCAACGTGTGTTTCGACTCCTGCACTTTGATTTTTTCTCGTTCACGTTCATATATTTTTTTCGTTCTCCTGCTCATAGAAACGCAGTCACACTGATCCCACAAATGCTTGTTCCACTACAATGCCCGGATAGCCGAGTACTGATGACATTCGCCATCTTACCATGCCTACTCTATTTTAAGCCCCACATGGCCAAAAAATTGCCCGCAGCTTCCCTCGGGGGAACACTGAGGAGGATGCGGACCATATAATTGGTTAACGGGGTGTTAAAGTGTGACTTACTTGGGTCGATGGCTAAATTGGTTAACGTGGTTGTAAAATGGGGTGTTAAATTGCGACTTACTTGAGTCGATGGCTAAATTGGTTAACGTGGTTGTAGGAGGGGGTGTTAAATGAGTGAACACGTACACACGTATGCGAAAGGGCGGCGCTGGTCGAAGGGACGTCGATCATTGTGTTTGTGGATTCGTTGGAATTCATTTCACCGCGACCTTGGACGTCGACGCGCCGTACAAACCAACCGACGAGCGGCAACTGAGCGAGCGAGCGCCGACCTTGAGTATATATACAGCACGACGGCGCATGCACTGTCAGCTGTTGAATGTTCTCGAAGCGCGACGCCACATGCGCGTCCACTGGAGAATCAGGAGAATTGTAGATGTCGAACGCGGTGTGTAGAGGAGGAAGGGTGCACAGATGGTGGAGGAGTGAAGCGCGCGCGGTGTGTAGAGGAGGAAGGGATGCACAGATGGTGGAAGAGTGGGCGACGGCGCGACGGCGCATGCGCGCGCGTCAGCTGTCGAATGTTCGAGAAGCGGTGCGGACGGCGCGGACGGCGCACTACAAGGCGCGAGTATAAGATGCTCCGCATCTAAAATAGTCATTTCGATAGGTTTATTATGTATTAATTGCAAACATCTTAGAGTGGCATTCAATTCGGTGCGCGGCGTGACCAACTGCGCATATGAAACAGCTGGCCCAAGCACTGCCAGAAATCGCTCACGCACTAGCGCGTTCCGAACTGTGTAAGAGGCTGGGTAATACTCTGTGGCCTGTCCCTTCTCACGCTCTCTACGCAAACGTATGAAGGTGCTGGGAAATAAGATTCTGCAGACGCGCGATGAACCAACACGTTGCATTTTAGTCGGAACTCACTGAAACACGCTAGTGCGTTTGGCCCTGCGTAAGTGGCTGTGGCAGAGGCCCCGGCATCTCCCGCTTACACTGCCTCAGCCTTAGATGCCTGCTGAGATCACGCAGCGACGGTTGGAGCAGCGAAAGTCTCGACGCGCCGCAGAGCAACATAAACGTCAGCAAACGAATCCCATTGTACGCAGCTGACGTCGAAGCCAAGCGTAAGCATAGAGCCCACGCGTCGGTTACAGACCGGTGACGCGAGGCCAACGCCCGTGGCACCGTGGCGCCTGCGAAACACCTCGCTGGAGAACTTGAATGACTGGGCTTCAGTGGTGTCGAGGGCATTAAAACCACTCGTTATGGCGATAACAATAAATACGCAACATTGACGTAAACATCAGCGTAAACACCTATAGTCGGCTACAGCCTAAAAATAAATGTACGCTCCACCCACTGCGGTCACTTCCCCACTTAGGCAGAATATGTATAAATTTGCACGCAATCAGCTCCTGACGTCAGGCAAATTTCACGGATTTCAGGCATGTGAGGCAGACATAACGTTTTAACAAACAACGAACTTTTACTTTATAATATTTCAAGTGTTTTTGTTACGAGCGAAAATGTGCTTATGCTTAAGACAAAAATTGCCAATCATTGCTCTGTTCTGCAGATGAATGACAGGCGTGCTGCAGTACTAAGGGTGTCGTGTGTATTCATTCTTGGGTTGCAACCAGCTAGAGCCAAACTGATACAAACGTGGTGCGAAACACCCGTGCGACTTCGCATCGCCTCACGGTACCTTTTATTGGGTAGTTTTTTCACCATCCGGCTCCACACTTCTCATCTCCTCTCAACATCGTTGCATCCTCGTTTCCACCTAGGCACGAGACGCGAAGCATTTGATGCCAGCGGCTTGTGTCTTTTGTACTGCGGTGCGCATACGTGGTCCTCCCGCTATATCTCACCTCTCACGCGTCCTTCTCTTTCGCCTCGGAACGCCGACACAGGCAGCATCTGCAAGTCGACGCTCGCGTCCCCTGTCTCTCCTCTAAACGTTCCTCTCAGTCGTATTTACAATGCCATTGAGCATGCACGTCCGGTCCCCCCTTTCTCTCTACTCTCATATTCTCCTCCTCTCTCGCTGCGCAACGCCTACGCAAGCAGCGTCAGAGTGCGATTGAAAAAAAAAGACTACTCATGGTGCAATATCGTTAACTGGCCACCACGTGTATATAGGTTCTGCATCTTGACCTCCAAGGTATGAGTGGTGAGAGGCTTCTCCTGCCCGTTTTAAATGCGAAGCATTTCTTGGGGAACCTCGGTGACTTTGAGCGGATCTATTTATCTATCTTTTTATCTATTCTTTATCTATCTATCTATTTATCTATCTATCGATCTATCATCTAGCCGCCTACGATTTTATCTCTGCTGCCCGTTTTGTTAATGGTATCAATACCAAATTTGGTATGAGATAACATGTCTACATGACGAGTATATTTGGCTAGTCATAACATGAATATATCATGACATGTATGTCATGCATTACATGATTTACATATCATGGTCTTGCTGCTCTTGCGGTGCTTTCATTCACATGACATGTGGCAAAATTGACATCGTATGACATGACTGCATGGCGAATACAAGTGATAGAACCTAACGTGGAAATCACGGCATGCATGTTATGTAAGCCATGAGTCAAGACTACACGCCACGCTCATGGCATACGCTCGCTGATGTGATTGGTGCAAACATGTTAATCATAAGATGCGTGTCTTGTAACATGACTGCATGCCACACTCATTGTGCGCTCGCAGCCGTTTCGCTAGCTTCACATACACCGAGTTTAATATTATGGGACGTGAATAAATAACGAATGTATGTAACAGGTGCAAACATGATAATCATGAGATGCGTGTCATGTAACAACATGACTACATGCTACGCTCATAATGCACTCGTGGCCGTTTCACCAGGCTCACGTGTACCAAATTTGGTATTACGCCACGCGAACAGATGACATATGTAAATGACATGTCCAAATATGATAATCATGACATGCGTCTCATGTAGCAACAAGACTACATGCCACACTCTGGGCGTCAATACACTTCGACGCGACCCAGCGCGTATGTGCGCTGGCGTTCGTTTCGTCGATTCACGCTGGCAACGCCGCACCAGGCGCTGATCTGCCTCGCATATGCTCGCTGCGCTGCGTCAATTTGACGCATACGCGTTTGAGCGCGACCGGCGTCGCTCCGCTAGGCAGACGCGGTGCTGTCTGGGTAACGTCGTCGGCGCGTATGGGCTGGTTCACGCCAGCGGCAAGCATGCCTCGCCATTTGACGTTTGACGTTCTCAGTAAGCCGTGCACGGCTGTTTCCTTCGCGCACGTCTGCCGTTCAACGCTGTCCAAATCATTTTCGTGCCGCTTGCCGTTTGCCGGAGGGTGACGTAGCCAATCAGCGACGCAGGAGCGGCATGGCTGAGCCACGTCGTCGACTTTATGCCTGCCCGCATCGTCGGCGTCTGCCACGGGATACTACGAGCTGCTTGCATCTTGCTCGGCGGTTTTCGTGCTATGTCGTACCTGTTGTTTCCAGCCTACGGTTTAACACTGAATATAGCGTTTAAGCCTGTGCGATGATTAAAAAGCGCACAGCAATTCAAACTGAGATCCACAAAGTGGGCGTTTGGACAAGTGACACAAGCTATTCAGCGTTAGCAACAACAAAAAAATGTGTAATGTGTTCCCTCCGAGATTTGGGAAGGCTTTCTTAGACCTAGAACATCAATTATTTGAGCATGGTTTTCAAAAACGGTGCCGAATTGATTCGAGTACTGTGTTGCCGAAGCCAAAAACATGAGTATAAAGCAAATAGGAGCATCAGTTCGGAGCTTACGAGCTACAGAGTGCACGGTGGCCGCTTGATAGATTCGAGGCGGTCAACAACTGCCTTCGGAAGGGCAGCCATATTTGTCGGAGGAGCTCGCCGTGCAATTCCAACAGCTCCCCTGCGGGCG